TTATGTAACTACAAAACACTGGAAAAATAATACAAATTTGACCAATAAAAAAATAGGGTGTTATAAATATAAATCGTTATTGCGTTAATCCATTTACAATTAATCTAAAAAGCTAACGAAATAAACCTGATCTTTCTTTCTCATATCTAAAGTGATAACCTTCAAATTTTTCATTTATGATTATGTAATGTTGAAAGATTTAATCAAGATTATAATGTACTACGTGTAAAAAGATATTTTCGTTTTCTTTAAAAAAATATTTTAAACTATCCTAATATATATATATATATTTTATAAATATGTAATAATGATATTTTGCAAATCATTAAATTCGACTAACCTGAATGTAGTCGTAATAATGTAGAAAACAGTTATTAACAACTATTTTGTACTATCTCATGTACAGAGCAATCATTTAGCTCAGTTCTGTTCGATTTAAGTAAAGAATCAATATCGTCGTACTATCAGTGAGTCCTAATTGCAAAAATTGTTTGCCATTCATCAAACCGGTCGAACCTTAGGTCTCGCTAGGGCTCGTACTAAATGATCTAAACTGCATAACCTCTATACTAAGCTTTCACAAACTTTATGTTCCACAAACTGCATCTAGAATTAGTAGGTTATTTAATTAATAATGTGACGGTTTTTTACAATTGCGTTAATTGTTTGCATCTTGAAACTGGATTTGTAACTTTAGGAAATTAAAGAGAATTAATAAGTATAATAAAGATAAGGCAAGAATTAAATCTAATTTTCTTCTAGCTACATGTTTTTTCGATACTTTTATTTATTTGTCTATTTTTCTTTGATTTACTGTCGTGTGTCGTAAAGACACATTTGGACATTCGTTTATTTCGAGTAAAATAAAATCCAGTCTACAATCGCGTAAGCATAATTGTAAGTGGTGTAGATGCGAGAATTGACCAATCACACAATAGAATATTCTCCTCATATTCGACTGTGATTGATCAATTCTTTTAACTATACTACTTATAATTACGCTCATGTGATTGTAGAACGGGCCAACTTAAACATAAAAAGAATATTGAAAGTTTCTACATTGAACAAATACATTTTTTTTATTTTTTAGTGCTCATTATTAATGGGCGAGTTCAAAACGGCAAAACGACTAGGCATGCTTACGGAGCGATATATTGTATATGATTGGTTGGATCTATAAATAACAATCAATTACAATATGTTCATTTGCTTGGCGAGCAGGCTAGCCACTTTGTCAAGCGTGTTTTTTCCTCAGAGAGGACGTTTTGGAACGTAGCCTTGAATGTGCCCAATGAGGGCGACCAAATGAATATAGGATGCTTTCCATTTGATGACACAAATCGACATAATTGTTCTATCTTTGTCATTCTCTGAATGTCAACAAAGATAGAACAACGCTAGCGTCATGACTTGTGTCAATCAAATTGTAAATAATTGACGACACAGAGGAAAATATCAGGGCGCCCCCTTGTCTCGACGATCCCAGGCCTGATCTCTCCTTCCAGTTTGTAGAGTTTCATTCTGCCACTGAGCCACCAGCTTTGATGCTATTGGTATCTCTGTTGTATCTATATCTAGTAAATTTCTTACGAAATGGAAAGTACCCATTGATTGTTACTTAGATGCCTTTTCATGTTGACGATCGACGCTCATTTTCGATCTTTTGACGTCAAAAATGTCCAGGTTTCGAGCTGTCGTGTCCTCTCTCAAGTTTCTCTCTGGTAAAAGTAAGTTTGTAACAATGTTATTTGTAGTGATGTGTAGTAGTACATTTTCACGACAACAATCTAGCATCTTAGCTAGGATCTTTATTATCTAATCATATCATATCATCTATTGTATATCAGATATGAATCGATCCTCTGATTACCTATGGCCTAGTTTCCGAAAGTTTAATCCGGATCAGAATGTAAGAACTAACCAAACCAACTACAATCGAGCATTCCCCTGTTCGACTGTAAAGCCTTGTCCACGATGCTAGAAATCGGTCCGAGACCTTGGATGAAGAAAGAATTAACCAATCACAATGATCATGTGATCAAATGATTCAAATGTGATTTGTTAATTTTTTCTCTGTCCGAGATCTCGGACAGATTTCTAGCATCGTGGACATAGGGCTTAACAGGGAAATACTCGACTGTAGTTGGTTGGTTCTTACATTCTGATCCGGATTAAATCCTCGGTGGAAACTAGGTCTATGTGATATTAGTTGCGTTCAGCTGACTCAACTCACTCACTGCCAGTGAGAATATCCACACAACTAGCTGCATAAATGTGTGTATAAAGAAAATTATCCAATCACATTTTACGTGCATTTTGATAGGAGAAATGCGATTGGATAATTTTTTTTATGATGATTTTTTTATGTGGTTAGCAAGTTATGTAAATATACCCTGAGAAATGACAATGGAATCGACATCGGATCAATGTCGATTCGAGTTGATTCCATTGTCATTTCTCACTAGGTTATATATTGTATCTAATTGGTATATATTTTTAGATCTAATGTGTATATGCCAATCCACACACCATACACACACAACACAAGATCTCACTGAGCGGTTGTAAGACTGAATGCACCCACTGCATCACCTCGGTAATTTCTTAATTCTATGGCACTGTCACATGCAGCGCTGTAATAAATTTTTTTTCAATGTATACATACATAAAACGTAGTAAACGCATATCTGCTGAGTAGCGAAGCGAAACGAAATACTGAGTACGAGAGAAAAAGAGAAAGGAGAAAGAACATTCTTGTTTATGATATACGTAATCAAACAGTATTATTCGGAGCGTAAAGCAAAAGAAGCTGTGTGGCTGTGTCCCTCTGCATTAAATTAAGGACGAACAGCCAAAGGATGCGCGCATGTCTAAGCATTGCGATATCCAATTTCTGTGTGATAGACGGATGAAGAAGGTGGCCGTCACCGCCGCCACCGTCGCCGCTGCCGCCGCCACCGTCGCTGCCGCCGCCACCGTCGCTGCCACCGCCACCACCGTTGCTGCCGCCGCCGATCACACGGCGGTGTTGGAGTACGCGAGCGCAGCTGAGTGCTGCAAGCTGGCTGCGGTCGTGAGTATTGCCCATCCGGACGAAATCGACACGATTAGGGTTGACGAGATCATCATGACGGATACGGCGTCTGCAGCTGCCGCTGCCGCCGCTGCGGCTGACACGCAAAAACGGGCCAACTTTTCGGCGTTGACAGTCGGTAATCCGAACGGCGTCAGCAAAATATCGCCGAGCCTTACGAATGCGAAACCCGGTTCCGCAAAGAAGCTCGTCATCAAGAATTTCAGAAGTAAGTTACTGGACGCGGCACGCTAAACG